TTGGCCAGTTGAAACCAGTCATGAAGAAATGTCTTCGCAATACTCCACTCTGACTGTTAGAAAATGAACCCAAGAATTCTGTTTATCAGTTTGTGCTCACTCCGTGAGCATGCGGGTCCCTTTACTCGAGTGACACCAGTGCACTCTTTTCCCTTTTCTTTATCCATTTATAAAATTTTACGTTTTTGTAATGCGCATGTTACTTAATCCGCAGTCGATACTGTAGAATGCTGAAAATGTACCCATCAGGGTACATAATGCTTACGTTGGCTTGACTTGAAATCTTTGAATCTGCTCACACTTCCCTTTTACCGTGGCCAAAGATTAGGCTGACGGTGATTTATGGTTTGTTAGCGTGCACAGTGGCATCAAAACCACGTTGTGGACGCGTGCGCGATGCTTATCCCTACTTTTTAACTCATGATGTACGGAATACTGCCGTCAATTGTATCCAGTTCTGAAACTAACATTCCGCTTCCCACAATCTGTGAAGTAAGGAAAAGAGAACAGTACGGTACCGACGCTTTGCTGACACGCTACCACCAACAGTCGCGCGAAGTCACCCACACCTACGCGGATTCGATGCAGTGAAGCTTCGACTCTTAATCGTTATTGGACGGGGTGAAGAAAAACGGATACGATTAGGCGTTGCTCGCTGCAGTCATCATGCTCTACAGTCAATTTCCTTCTTGCTCGCACAACATACCGGGTTATGGTATCAATCCGAGAATTGGAATTTGCTGGTAGAACCCCTTACCCCACTACAGTACTGATGTGTGCAAACAATTGCCAAAACTTGTCGACGTATCTGCTTCAGATATTCGTTACGTATCCAGTTTAGATCGTGTCCCGAAAATGACCCTAACCTTTGCTTACTTCATTTCACATTGATATTGCGTATTCCATTCCATACGCACATGTCAGCATTGTATTCCTGTCGTTTTTGACACAACCGGATCTCGGTGGCCTACTAATCAATCCGTCAGCCGTCAATCACCACCTCCCGGTTCCGTTATCCAATTCCGGTTTTAAATAAACAGTCTAGTAAACAAGCTCGTTTTCTTGGATTCATCGTCAGACCAAACACGACTCATTTAAATAGTTACGACAACAAAAGGTAGATTGAGTAAATTGAATATATAGGTGTCAACATACCCTAAAGGGGTGTGGAAGTGAAGATGATGGGGCCCCGTAGGTAATAGTGACGTCCACTGGTAATCATCCCGTCGTTATCACCAAAGCCTTTCGCCCGGTCTACCGTGTGAGGTGTGTCCATTCCAAGCATCTCAGATGCCGAATTCTTGCATTGGCGGAGGCGCTCGCGATTCACCTCAACAACCCCCCGTTGTGTGTGCATAAACAATTCGTCAGAGCATTGGCTTTACCGTGGCCAGCTGTCGTCCGGGCAGCTTTCGAGTGAACTCATTTTTGACACCTTCCTTTAATATGTAACAAACTTGTATTGAGTATTAGCAACTGCACTACCTATCCACAATTCAGACGCATGATTAATATTCACCTGACTGTTGCAAATATCTGGTCAACACTAAGCCAAACGATGACTCTAGATGATTTGTATGAGAAAGGTCCTGGATACATATGAAAGTCACCACATCCTCTATTCGTTTCAATATTATAAGATTACCTACAATTCTTGGGTATGTATTTATAAACGATCTTACTTCTATCACTCTGTCTAACTAATTCTGTTGTCTCCTTTGACGCACTGGTTCGTAGCTGCACTACGCCTTTCAAGCTGATATCTCTGCACCATCGTCGTCACTCGTCAAGATTTTCCATCAAATTGTGATTGGCCTATCGGCAAGCGTTTGTATTCATTATCATGTTTTTTAATTCCTCATACTTTATCTTCTTTGTCTTATTGTTGGTCATGACTGGGTTGATCTCTTGTGGTGACGGATTACAGCTTCCAAAATAAAAAAGTATACCCATGCAAATCATATTGCTACCGACTCGCTGCATTAAAACAAAAAAAGTGCCACACTTGATTGATCCGCATGACGAAATGGGCTGAGGCTTCATCGCCTATAATGTCTGCATAAAACAGCCCTAAAAACATTTAATACCCAGTCTGATGGCCTATTTACTATTTTGCTACACCGGCACAGAGTCAATTGGAGCATAGAAGTGGGGGTGAAACTCATCGTGGAAATACCCTTCATGGAAGCAAGTCCCCTGGGCACAGTTCCATGCATGACCGTAGGCGTGGGCGTCCTTGCGGTATACTCAGCCCGCGCGCTACTGGTGGTGGTCGCGCGGCAGCGAAGCGCCGTTACGGCGTACAGCTGACACACATTTATTACTTTACTTGAACTTGATTATTGTTCCCAGTTTCTTAATCTCTCTACTATTTTCAAACTGCTAATCACTTTAAAAAACCCATATGGGAACCGTTGAACGAAACACTTAAAATTAACTATATTATGCGATCACGTTGTACATGTCGCTAAGACTTCTCAATTGGTCTGCGCCTCGCAATGTCGAGGAATAGAACATTTATTTATTTATTTATTTACTTACTCAATCCACCATTTCTTGTCGTAAATAGTTACATCTATTGTATTTGGTCAGATGATGGATCCAAGAGAAAGAGCTTGTTTGCTAAAGCGTCTTATCCTGACCGAGAAGGTTCTTTCTGCCCGGAAAGCGCGAATTACGGAGAGACCGGAGGTGAAGCATCGCGTTGGGGACATGCAACAGTGAAAACACCTTGTGATCTGGTCACATTGGCCAAATGGACCGAGATTTTTACTGTCTTACATGATATAGGTAGAACTTCATCACATCTAAACTCACTCAGACAGCCGCCATACGCCAGAAAAAGCACTGTATGCGCGTCTCATTCTTTCGGGAATCGTCAGCAGTGCGCATTCCATCGGACCCTGGTAGGGCTCGAACCAGCAACTCGAGTGTTGTCAGTCCGTGGTTGAGGCCAATGAGCCTCTGTAATTCTTACATGACCTTATGATCAGAGTCTGCTTGTCGTAACTTTTGCATCCCACAAATACTTTCCGTGAGAGCCCAACGCTAAACTCGATGTGCGTTGTCTCACTACAGGTCGGGTGGGAGGTTTTGTGGCCGACGCATCCCACCCAGATGTTTGTGCTGAAATGTGTGAAGGAATGACCAGGCAGGCAAAATTTCCGTAACTATAGCTGGCGGATGACAATACTTGAGTGAACTTAGGTGACTGTCTGATCGGTTAGCTGGACTAGTCGATTGGTTAACCCCTTTAGGCAAATCTGCCTCTGCAGCTATCTGCTTTGTGGTCACGCAGGCTTCCACCTGAGCCCATTAATTACTCGTGAATTCTTGTCACTCCGATGGCTGTTGTTCTTTAGTTCCCACTGCCACTGCTGTCCGTTGTGTGTGTGTGTGTGTGTGTGCAAACGTTACGTTTCACTCATCAGAGTTCAGTGGAACAGTGGTTTATGACCGGTACAAAAAGGCATAGATTCAACATGTCCCAAAATCGGAAGGAATAGTAAGTTCGAAGGCTACACAAAAGTGTACGAAATAAAATCCGTACCGCTGAAATGACAGGGCAACGGCACACTAGAAGTGTGGTTGGGGGAACCAGTTAACACCATGCAAAACGGAACAATAATAACCTAATAATCGGGTTAATACTCATTGTGAAGAGCCATCGGATTTCTCACTTGTCTGCACGGATTCACCTGCGTCACTGTGGGTCATAACTGCAAAACAGCTCGTTAGCGTGAATAGATCCCAGAACATCTGTTCATGTACGCTTTTTTTGAAAATGACTGTTTGTGGCACAGACAACTGAGTTTGTAAGATCGTTCCAGGATTAGCAGACTCGAAAGAAGTAATTTCGTCGCAAATCTAGCCGACTGTATTGTTGACCCAGTTTCAGTCGATTGCATCTCATCTTTGTGGTGGAGCTGAGTTTCTGCTGGCGGCACACCTGATAAGGGTTTTTCAGTATTTGGTGTATCGACGTGTGGTTTCCACGTAGCCGCCGGTCGCATCAACGGAACACTCCGAATTGCTTCAGCTCTTTTCTGGTAAGAAAAGCAGCGCAAACCCTTGAGATTCTTCGTTGTTCGACCTTGTGGGTCTTGAGCGCTACGTGGTCACCCTTTAGCCAAGCTTTCCAGGACTAGACAGCGTATTTGACGTGGCGACGCATGTAGGCATTAAGCATCCAAGAGAAAATTCTGCAATCCAACTTAGTAATTCGGTGACAATTGGATTTGTTTGAAGTATTTTGCTGAAATCTACTGCGATTAGAGATTCTATTAAATGACCACAACACCTCGATGAAGAGCACTCGGCTGGTCGGCACAGCACACCTCCCTATGCATTTATGGGACTTGAACGTATGATTGTCCCCTTACAAGACGGGGATTTGGACCATGAAACATGGGCGTAGGGGCGGCGGATCATCATAACTGCTGTTTATCTCATGGTTATTTGGTTCTCCTCCGACTTTCTACTCTGTGATGTGTCGCGCTTTCTATAACTTACTTTAGCGCGCATTCTCCTGAGGCTATTTACACCGAGTTGCTCACTGGATGCATATCCCTTCAATGCTCTCTGTGATGCACGGAACACGACGACTTGCAATTGTACTGCTCATAGGTTGGTCGTTATTCAATTTCTGATGTGCATTCACTTAATTGACCGGTTTTGCGGGAACCCATACCCCTCTTAACACATTTAAAGATATCGGCTTAAGCCTCAGCTCAATCCTCTACCTCCGTTTGGCCGAGCTCTATGTCGGGTATGAAGATGGTATGTTGCCAGTCGGTCTTCACATTGCCCTACCAATTTTCTTCAACCACACAGCTTATATAAACATGTGGTGTTGTTCAACTCGATCTATATCGACAACGGTGTGGTTCCCCGAAATTTGTGGTGTGTGCCTATTCTTCTTCTTCTTCTTATCATCATTTGTTTATTATTAGTACTACTGTTTATACTTTCACTACTTATCCATCACACTCTTTTTGCAGATGTATCAATCATTACGGCCTTGATCCCCTCATTCACGCAGAGGAGTGCACATGCACGACAGCAGACTTCGAATGGTGAGTGTCTGTATGTGTGTCTCATCTTTCAAGGTTCTTGCCGCAACACAGGCTTCCGTCTTGTCATCTGCTTCTCATAGACTCGCAAACACATTTTGTTGAGCTTGTCACTTTTAAAGTAGCCATCTCTACCAAAACACAATTTCTCGCACCTTGGACGTTTGTGACTCCAATCTCCTGCACTGCGATGTCATGCGAGAATGCAAACGTACCTCGTGGACAGTTGCACTATCCTTTTTCGTCCGTTTTTGTTTCGATTAAGGTGAACTATAAGCGGCACATTTCAGCTAGATAGACTAACCGCATCTTCACACCCGTGATACGGCTAAGGGTCGCCACAAATTCCAGGTAACCCTAATATGCATCTCATCTCGTCACGCTTCAATTTGACAAATGAATTTCATTTCCATCCTTGTGACACCGTATCTCATCTGGGATTTCGATGAGCTTTTTATTTTGGTCACTAAACTGAACTACCATATGGTTCGCTTAAGCTATCAGCGGACTTCAATATGTCGCACAGCAACCTATGCCCCTTCAGATTTACACACTTGTTCCCATGTATTTTGTTCTTCGGACTCATCTGATGGCTCCTTTGCAGCCACCGTATGACATATTGATCACAATCTGTGGACAGCTATTGTGCCATCGGAACCATGGCAGAATAGGAAAACAGGATGGGAGTAAAAGATGAAAGAAAACAAGCTATTTTTGTCCATTTTCCCGCTCACAGTTTTTGAGCTAATTTTTAATGATGTTTTTTATAGGGGGAGAGAAAGCGAATCACCGCAACAAGCAGAGATACACACCCGCCACTGAGTTTGGCTTTGAGCAATGACATTCAAGGTTTCCAAACAGCAGCACTCAGCATCTTTGGGATTCCATCCAGCGAGTCCAGAAAAACCAACCGAGGCAGTTGTTTTGTCAGCTTTTTCATCCAGCTTCTCCAAGCTGTAGACTATCCACCACACCGCTTCCTCCAGCCCTGTCCAGAGACCGCGAACTAGGCACGACGCGAATGACGCTGAACAGGCATACGCAGTACGTGTCCGAGCCACCGTAGTTGACACAGCGAGACAAAGAGCGGTTGAACTATTCGCTGAGCTTGGCAATTTTGTTGCAAACGTTTCGTCACCAATCGAGGTGACATCATCAGTGTGTAGTTGCGTGGCATGCAGTAGCGAAGAGTAGCGTAGAGGAGCCTCGGTGAGAGGCTCTTGAGCTGCGCATCGAAATCCCGTCTCCAACAACCTCACCAGCAGTGATGCAGCTTCCCAGGTAGACAAAACTCTCTACAACTTCCGGCGTCTCACCATCGGTGGTGAGTGTAGGAAAGGGCGTATGCCAGTCTTGAAAAAGCGCTTTACACTTGGGTGGTGAAAAGTGCATGCCCTGCTTCGACACTTCAATCGCCAGGCGGTTAGGTTTTAGTTGTACGCCCTGCGGACCGTCACCCAACAAGACGATATCATCAGCGTAAACCAAGTCAACCACTCGACTATCTGGGAGGAGTTCAACGCCAGCGTTCAATAAGTCTTTTAGAGCATTTTTGAGGACATCAACGGCAAAATTGAAGAGGAATGGAGGGATATGGAATGCTTCTCGAACCCCACTGGCAACAGAAAAGGAAGGCGAAGGCTTGCCATAATCCCTAACTCTACCCGAGGTCAGTACGGAAACGAACTTCCCGGGAATAGCATTTCTCAACAGAGAGTGCCACAATGCAGCCCTGTCGACAGAATCGATGACAACACGGATATCCAGGAACACCACAATCATTGGCTTTTGATACACATGGCGGAGCTCGAGAATCTTGCAGAGTGTGAAAATCTGATCGATGCAGCCGCGGCCAGGGCGGAACCCAGCCTGTGCTTCTCGCTGTAGTGATTCACGCGCTGGGGATAGCCTGCGAAGAATGATGTATACCGGAATCTTGCAAACAACGAGAACCAAATTTATGCCCATGTATTTTGGGCGATTTGTGCGCCGACCCTTTTTGCAGGTGAGGACAACTATCGACTCACTAGGATGATGGAACCTCCTCTATTGCCCAGATTTCGGAGAACAAAGTGGTGAGTTCTCGAACCAGCGAATAGCCCCCAGCTTTAAATAGAGCAGGAGGTAGACCATCAGGGCCAGGTGCCTTGTAATGCTTTAGGCAGCAGAGTTCCCGCCAGATTTCCTAGTGAGAGGGAGGATGAGTGGGGATAGTCCACTCAGCACCATTGCGGGCCCCAAGGGAAACAGATGGAGCTGGCGGCCAGGAAAACTGCGAGCGAAAATGTTTGGCCCATCGTTCAAACCGTCATTGAAGATTAGTGATTAGGGAGCCATCATCTTCGCAGATTGTTTCACTTACTCCTGATCGGAAGCTTTCGGTGACTCGGATGAAGCGGAACAGTTTTCGGGTATTACCATGTATTACTATGTCAAACATTTTTGAGGAACGCAGTAGCTCATGTAGCTGTCGGTAAAAGCAATCCTTAACTGTGTCCGGGCTGCAGTCTATAGAAACGTAGGCGGAGATGACAAACAAGGCGCGCGTAACATCTCGACGGTTACTTAACTTACACGAACCTCGTACTTTGACTGCACACAACGGACTATTGACTGAGATTCGGTCAAGCAAAGCGGCCTCACCCCTATCACTCATTGCAACCCCAACGCCAGCTTAGCCAGAAGCGGCGGTGTCTGGGTCTCCAGGAAGGCGCAATTGGTATTTGACGTTAGGGTTTGTCAGAGATGCCAGTCTGATGACGATACTGGCATCTTGCAACCTGGTTTCAGAGAGTCAACAGATGTCCACCGAGAGTGTCTCAGGGGTGGGAGTCAGGAATGCTTGTCGTCAGATCTGCATCAGAGTATGCACATTGAACGCTGCAAAACGGGCTGGAGAACCAGGTCAAAGGAAAGCTTGTGTTTCGGTGCAGTGTGAGAATGTTGTGGCCACCGATCAACGAACACCAAAACTTCGGCTCAGAACTCTATCAGTTGCGACCAGTGAACTTGTTGACGCTGACCGAGGAAGACATAGGTACAGTTAAGGAAAGGGATGTGGGACCATCTGTTAGCGGACGTTGAGCAGCAGAGACAGTATAGTCAGTAGACATAGCAGGAGTGGAAGCAGTAGTGTAATCCATCCATGGTTCGTCAGTGGGCGTGATACTACCTGGATGCCCAGGACGAAGTAGTGGGTTGCCTTAGGTGGCCCCACCCGAGCCTTTGATCCAGAATCTAGCCTACAAGGCAACAGGGCGATATGAGGGTGTCGCAACCCGTTGGGTGGCGGTGACCAAACAAGTGGTTCATACGCATTTAGAACAAAGGACCAGGGGCCCAACGCACCCTTGATTTACAATGCAGCTCAAAGAGAGGCAAGGGGCAGTGACTTCATTTAATGGCGAGTCACATCGGTCATGTCACAGTGTTGTTAAACGGACATATGTGTCTTTTTATTGGGAGAACGCTTGCGAGGCGAAAACCAATGACGTCCTGGAACACTGCCGCTGAACCATTCGCTGGAACGGGATAATCCCGAACCACGCGATTGGCACAACTAGGAGGTTGTTTGGCAAACCAGTCGTATGATGGTCCCTTTCTGAGCCATGCGTGCAATGAAAAACCTTGTACTTTCCAGTGAAGTAGCAGTGTTACGTTCATGCGTTCCCAAACCGGGTGGAAATAACAACGAATATGATGGCTCACTGGTGGCACGCATGCCACATTCATTGGTTTGCAATAGAATTTATTGTAAATAGAAATTTGGTGTTGCCCACCCGAAAACACTGCACTACAATGACGCGTTTCGATGTTATTACATCTCATCAGATAGAGTTAGCAATCATCGAACCCGGGACCATTGGGATGTTAGTTGTGACCGCTACCCCTAAGCCACCGAGTCACGACGGGCAATGCTTGACACAACGGTTTAATGAACGATGTTTAGGGTCAACATTGTTATTGCGCGTCGCAATCCATCCACACAACGTGTACTTCAAAATGACCCTAATAATTTATTGTACTTTTGTTTGGACACTTCTTGTTTTCGCTGGCCTGTCCCCGGAGATCATTTTGAGTTACCGTCTTTGGGTTCGTCAGTTTTCTCCTCCCTTGATTGATCGAATGCAACTCGCGCGAATCGATTATTATATTTCTGATTATCCGAAACGCGGCCTAGTGAAAACTTCTACAAAGCGTTATGGATTTGTGGCCCGGAATTGTCGCAAGCTGAGTAAGTATTTCCGCAGAGCGCCTTAGTGTCAGTGGGTATCATGGAAAGTCCATTCAGATCCTCAGCAGGCCACCCAAGGATGATCTTCCGGAAATAGATCTTTATTTGTTCTTGCTGTTCAAGGAGGACCATCTGGCAAATGGTATCGGACACAATCTCTGATCCGTTCTAACGTGCACCTACATGACTGTCCAGTTGGGATTCGTTCATATCAAACGTAGCCTTGTTCTTTATAGCCGTAAGGCCGGAGTACCCGAGTAGGTGCAATTTCAGCATTTTACAAAAGCTACTGCATATGTTTTCGCACATTAACATGTACAGTTGGAAAAGGCATTGAGAGCACCAGTGCCACTCGAATTAACAGTCCCAAATGGATATCATGTTTGATGGTACCTTATCGAAGCCCAATTTATTGATCCAGAGGAAGGTTTCTCAAGTTACTATGTCTGCTTACATCTTCGCCTTGTACACGCAGTATCTTAAAGTCCACTTTCGAAAAATCAGCGGAGGACGACATTAGTGGCTTTGTGACTAGGCTAACCAAAAAGTGTCAAATGTGTTTAGTGGAAGCGGGTATCTTCGCAGCAGATAAAATAAGAGCAATGTTCCCGTGAAAAGGCAACGGCCGATCCAACAGCTATAACCAATTCACTTCGCTTCCGAGCATAGCGCCATGTGAATTGGCTACAGTCGAAAGTCCTTTCTTCTCTGGTAATGCTCTCGCTCCTCTCACGTTGTTTACCAGTTCAGCTGCAGTTGCGGCGACATT